TGAATAATAATGACAATGCTTCATCTAAGGGATTCACACAACTTAAGACTATTACATCTTATTACTACTAGTTGTAAAGAAGCAAGAGAAATAAGATGAAAGAAATACAAGTGAAAAATGAATAATAACGATAATGCTATTTATTTTCAGTAGTCTGGATGGGGATGCCACTTAGAGCTAAGAGAAGAAGCCTATGTTGTTTCAGTTGATGTTTCCTATACTGACTGTATACATGTTGAATAAAAGCTTTAAAACAAGTTTTATTTTTTAATGCCATGTCCCTTCAGGACATAATCATGGCTCTCCATAGATCCTTTTTCTTTATTATTTGTGAATTACCATGATTTCTCCAGAAAGATAGTCAAGTGGTTTCCTTTTGAGTTCTCCACGGTTTTGAATTCAGAATTGTCCTTTTCCTAGACTGGCTGCCACTCAAGGCTAGAGAACCCAATCTACTATGCTAGTTAACTCATAGCTGGGGAAAAAGAAGATATTGGAATTTGAATTTTAGAAGTCACATCCAAAGAAAACACTTTATACTTGCTATAGCAGAATTTAGGAAGAACACTGCCCTTGTTTTCAATTTCATTCCTTTGACTGAACTAGCCAGAAATTTTGCAATCACACAAGTGTCTGGACTTTTACAGCTGTTACATGCTTACACAATTATTTATTAAAATCAATTTCACAGTTTGTTGGCTTGTATTCTGATCATTGTTCAGGCTTTTTTCTAAGCAATTTTTTTTTCTCAAACAAAAGTTTCTCATCTGAAAATAGAATGTCGACAGAAACATCATATGTATGGTCAGGGCTAGATTATGACCTTTTGGAGCTTTTAGGCTAATAAAATTATAAGGCCAAAGACAGGGCTATGGCTTTAGATATCTCAAAGGCATTTGACAGGGTTTGGTATGCTGGTCTTCTTCACAAGCTGAAGTGCTATGGTGTCTGTTCAAATTTTTGATTTGATCCAATCTTTCTTAATGGATCATGTAATGAAAGATCCTTTCACATTAATGTGAGAGTCCCCCAGGGCTCTACCCTTGGACCTACTTTGTTTCTCATCTTCATCAATGACCTACTTTGTTTCTCATCTTCATCAATGACCTTCTTTCTTATCTTCATCAATGGCCTTCCTGATGTCATCAGTTCCAAACTCGGTATTTAGGCTATTGACAACTATTTACTTTTGTCATAATAAAAGTCCGACAGATACGATAAAGTAAAATTGGTACCTGATCTCAAAAATGACCTTCAATCAGTTGTTAAGTGACACAAGAATTTTTTTTTTAATTTTAAAGCCTCCCAAATGAAACTGCTACACATCAGTAATCTTGGAGAACCCATTTTGCTTTCCATCAGCATGGCTGATGCTAACCTCCAGAAAAGCAACTCATTGTGTCTTCTTTCCACTGACATGAAGTGGAGTGATTATATTGAATAAATTGCTAGGTCTGCAGCTAGGAAAGTTGATTCACTGTGTCATGTTAGACAATTTTTCTCATCAGAATCCATCTTACACATTTATAAATCTACCATTCATCTGTGCATTGAATATTGCTGCCATATCTGGTTTGGCACTCCTGATATATATCTGTAATGTTATCAGTTCTGACCTGGCATCTCGGCTTCAGTCACTTTCTCACCACCATAACAGAGCTCCCCTGTGCCTTTTCTATAAATATTTTCATGGCAATTGTTCTAATGAGATTTTCTCTTTGGTACTATGACCTCATGAGTGTAGTACTAGATTGGTAATTAGGTATCATTGTTTTACTGTTGAAACAGCTAGATGTAACTCTAAGTTCTAACAGTTCCTTTTCTCACACTTCTCACCTGTGGAATTCTCTTCCAGATTCTTGTTTCCTTGTTACTTATAACCTTCAAAAATATTTAAAAGCAACATCAATCACCATCTTTTGTCTTCCTGGATCCTGTTCTTTTATTGTCCTTTCTTTTCACTAATGTTTTCTCATTTTCTTTCACACTCAGTAACCCCTTGCTTCTTACTGGCTTTATCAACTTGCTTAAGGTGAATTGATTAAAAAAAAAAAAAAAAAGAGATGAAACCTAATAGTAAAAACTTAACAAAATATGTAATCCTTTTTTATAGCATGAATAAATTAGTTGCATTATGTTGTGGCTCACTTCAGATAAATGAAATTTTCATATGGTCACTCTGCGTGTACAAGGTGCTCCAGGTACTTAAGAATAAACTTTTAACATATCATAAATAAAGGGTGACTTAATGGAATGTTACAAATATGCCAAATTTTTACATTCCATTTCAGCTGGCACTCCCATCCAAGTATGCCTGTCTGTTAAGGTAGCTAGCTAATCCCTGTTGCAGACGCCTGCTCAGGCACATCTATATTTCTTCAAAACTCAGTGAACCAAACCATGGTTTATAATGCAATTAGGCTGAGTGAACCTTAGTTACAGTTTCTGGCAGTGAGTGTATAATCTGTGTACTTAACAGTTTTTAAGAAGTACATTCAAACCCTCAGTCATGATAACTTTTGACTTTGTGCTAGCACATCCATTGATAGCTTTTGAACAGTTCCATTCACCCATTCTAACTCATGCACTAACCAGTGTTATGGTTTTAAGGTACTTCCCAATAGTGTCAAAAGTTGGAATCGTCTCTCCAGGATGATATCATCAAGAAGACCCCCTGACAAATTTACCGTTAAGATTTAAACGTAGGTCTCAGGGTCAGAATGTTAACTACTTGGCCAAATGCCTATATATGGAGAGCTTTAAAATGGCAGCTTTCAATTTGACACAAGAAATGAAAAGAGATGCTCTGCAGTTGGTATGAAATGCCAAACACAGTGACTCAGATAACAAGCTTTGTGAAAGTTGCCAGATGAACCATTGGCTTTGTGCAGACTCCACAAAAATATGCACATATGAAGTTTGCATTATCTGATGATACTGAACAATAATCCTCTCATCAGCTCAATGCAACTGCTTACATGGAGGTGCTAGACTTGGTGATCATGCCCAGGATCAGGTGGGGTGTAGATGTGTTCTAGCAAGATTCTGATTTTGTTTGTTTTTTGTTTTTTTTATTTAGCTGCATATCAACACCTCTATCAGTTATGTAATACCAAAATTTAGATATTTTGAATGCAATCTTATTTCTTCATTTACAGATATTTTGTACATAATTTTATATTTTCAGGGCAAACATGTTCTTTTTTTTTTTTTTTTTTAGATAGGATTAATACAAATATAAAAATTGTCACTTAGCTGATTGATATTCAGCAACTCTACTCTGGAGTTTCATAAATGAACCTATTTGTAAATGTTTTGTTCACTCGTTAGGAAATATCAGCACTGAACAATTACAAAAAAAGTTTGGTTTACGAAACTCTGGAGTCGAGATGCTGAATATAACATCAATCAGCTAAGTGACAAATTTCATATTAATGCTCTATCTGGGATATAAAGCACTTCATTGCAAAGCCTGCTTGCCTTAAACGTTCTTTCTTTCAGTCTCTCACTGACTGACAGCATTTCTGGCTTCACACTATCTTTGTTATTGCTACTTCTTTCTTTAGACATAGTTTATGGATGACAAAATGTATTTTTTATGGCTTATCAACCCTTTTCAGATTAATTAAAACCAGAAAATATTTTCAGATTGAAAGAATTTGGGGGGAGGAGATAATAATGATCTAGTGATACGTCTTACTAATTAACCCATATCTGGGGGGAAAAGAGGTGAATTCATACCTTTTCCAAGAGCATTTGCATGGCGCATAAATGCATATAACAAACCCAACTGGAATTGGAACTCGGCTCTCTGATTAACAATTCCAAGCCATTATCCATTACACCACCCACACATCCAAGCTTACAGCACCTGATATTCTCAAGCCGTGCCCCATCTAGCTATTGACCCGATTGGACAGCTTTTATGGCTTCACACTATCTTTGCTATTGCTATTTCTTTAGATATATAGTTTATAGATGATAAAATGTATTGGTAATTTCTTTTTTAAAAGTACTTCTGGTAATTTCACTACTAAAATGTATTGTTTGTAATTTTATAAAAAATGTATTGCTAGCAATTTTAATATATAAATGTATTTTTATACTTTTTTGCTGTTATATTTAATTATCATTTTGTTTTAAAAATGCATCATTAATAATTTGTTTATTATAAAAATGTATTGCTGGTATCTTTACTATAAATATATGTATTTTTACACTTTCCTAATGTTTTGTTTTTGCTTGGGCATTCACTATTTGCCCATAACTGGGACCCTAATAGGTGCTACCACCCCAGCTCAGAGTGGACCTTAAAATAACAATTAAGAGGTGGTTCCACACTCCTCAAAACCTCCAATCTCCCAATCAGAGGCCTTTTTTGCCAAATATAGTTAAACAGGATTCTGCTTCCTCCCAGCTAAAATTGACTAACCAAGAAATTTACATGAACATGTTATCACCCCTGGCACTACTGCACCTGGGTCATCATTTATAAGGAGCGCAGCTATCTATCCAACAATACCAAGGAGTCATTGTAAGCTACCATCATGGATGTGGTCCAAAATGAAGAAGAATTAAGTGTAGAGGGGCATGCAATCACTTCCAAGACAGCAAAATCTGTTTTTCTGAATTGAACATGTCTGCCAATATATTTCTTTTTAAAAATATATTTTTATTTGATTTTCTTTATGTTAGAATTTGTTCTCAATTTCCTGATATTCCTTTTACTTCCTCACTAGTCATTTTTGGCTAATTCATTTTTTTTCTGTCTTCTTGAGTAAAGTTATTTTCTACCAGTTTTGATTAGTAACTAATTTTTAGGTGGAAAACAATGAAGACTGAGTAAACATTATGGGTGAATCTACTTCATGACTTATTTCAACTCAAGTACAAGACCAAAAAACATCTATTTTGTGAAGATTTCAACTCGACTAAAAGACAAAAAAAAAGTTGACTGTTCAACAGCAAGATGACATCAAAGAAAAAGGAGTCAGACTTACTTGAGCTCGTCTGTAAAACTGATGTGTGATTGATTCAAACCTTTCTTGGCCAGCAGTATCCCTGTAACAAATGAAAGAAGAAACATTACTCTTGTTAAATCCACTGATTATTTTTAACTAGCATAAAAGATATGACCAGAAATTTAGCTTTTTGAAATATATGACAAGATTGATTCTTTTTCTATAGCTTATCAACCTTTGCAGGTTATTTAAAACCAGAAAATATTTTTAGACTGCAAGAACTTTCTTTTTAAATAATAATGATTTAGCACTACAAGTCTTACTAATTAACCCATAGGTAAGGGACAAGAGACAGATTCATACCTTTCCCAAGATTAGTTGCACATAAATAAATATAATGAACCCAACTGGAATTGGAACTCTGCTCTCCAATTAACAATTCCAAGTGATTATCCATTACACTAACTGGTATTCCCAAGTGGTTACCCATCAAGGTACTAACCAGGCTTGACATTGCTTAACTTTGGTGATCATCTAGGAACTAGTGTTTCAATGTGATGTGACTGTAAGCCATATGACTACAAACATGGCTTTTCTGTGAACATCCAATGTGAATTATGTCCCCAAAAATGGCTTACATCCACAATTCTCTTCCAGTCATACCTATGCCTTGAGAAATTAACTTTCAAAGATTTTTCAGCAAATACGACATATCTCCTGAAAAATACAACATATTCAGACAATTTCCTGACTGGAAAGACACTGTACACATCTCCAGACTTTTGACACAATTCCATAAAAAGGACCAAAAAAGCAGCTCTATTTAATGTCACCAAAAGTGACAATTTTTGATTTCACTAATCTTAACATGGTAGCAACATCTTTGTCTTTTGTTAACAATTAACATATTAACTCCCACACATTAGGTATTATGATATTTTTATTTATTCTCTTCATCTTGGTCTCTCATTGCATTTGTAAAGTGTTATCAGGTTGCATAATAAAATTGAAACTTCTTTAAATTATCCTTGCTTTTACACAAAAGAAAATAAGATTAAATCATGAAAACAAAGACTGTGACACGTTATCATTTATTTGATAGAGGTTTCTTCATCAGATTTTAATCCACTGACTCCTTATTGCATAAAGGAAATTTAATTTCATAAAGTGCAATATGGCTTCCTTACAATTACAGTTGGACCTCAGCATCCACAGATCACCAACCATGTTTCACTTATCATTTGTATTCAAAACTTTTATTAAAATGACTTTGTTGAATCAATTTCAAAGGTGTAAAATATTTTTTTAAAAAGACATGGACAGAGATCATTAATATGAATAGTATTTTAAAATAAAGAAAACAATTAAAATGTGCTCAAATTCATCAAAATTTGAGTCATCAGATCAATTAAAAATAAATATAAAAATTACTTTAATTCATTGTTTACTAAAATGTTTTTGTCTAACATGTTTCTCTTATTTTCTTACAGCCAGATATATTTTGTAATGGGAGAGTTGCATCCCTTCTGTCACCAAATGGGCTTGTGTATAGTAAACATTTTTGGACATACTTAGTATTTCTGGTTCCCTATTATCTGCAGATCCATGGGAGGCAAACAAAATCCTGCTGTAGTGATAACTTGAGTCCATTAAAGAGTTAACTACACCAAAGTAATCATTCACACCTTATTAGTTTGTTTTTTTTTTTTGTTACTTTGCATGAGTCTTTGCTCTCCTGATGACATATTTTGTTACTCTTTTGCCACTTGTAAACTGTGTCCTTTGTTAACTTCCAATGAAGATGCACACTGCTTGCTTGAAATAAAGACAGAAAAATATCATACAATCATCTAAACAGGTTTATACAGACAGGCATTAAAAATGATTTGGGGGAGGGGGGGGCAAAATTCAGGTATAAATAAAAGCATATCTGTAAAAGGAGAATATGAAGAAGATCACAAGGAAAACTTTTCTTTACCATCACATGGACTTTATCAAGGCAAATTTAAGGGTTATAAGAAGTAAAAATAATACTAGGTTTTCAAATTTTTAGATCTAAGAATGCACAAAAACCTTCTTATGGCTAACAGTGATAATCAAGATAAACTATGAAGGATGCTAAGTGATGTAATTTAATGCTTAAAGTAAATAAATGCAGTTATTGTTTATATATATATATATATATATATGTGTGTGTGTGTAATTTTCTAAAGGCTTCATATCTACTCAGTTTCATATCCGAAATGTAAACAAATCAATTTCTAATGAATTATTGTATTTATTTTTAATCTGACATTTTTATTACTTCAAATGTTCCTCCAAAGGGAGGATGCAGATTTGAACCCTGCTCAAGAGGGCACGTTCCTTAAGTTTTATGGTGTGCAAGAGTGATAAATGTAATAGACTTTTTGAAAAAAATATTAAAAATTAATGACCCCCCACCAAAATTAATGGGGCAACTATTTTAAACAAGTATCCACTACAAGTAATATTTGGAGTAATATATATATATATATATATATATATATATATATATATATATATACGTGTGTGTGTGTGTGTGTGTGTGCGCACACTCAACTCCAGTTTCATGCTCTTGCTGTCTCCAGGGAAGAATGTTCTTGTTGCCTGAAGATCACTCAGGCATGAAACTTAAGCAGCAACTCAAGCTTTCCTTCATGGACTGTTGATGTCATAAAGGCATTTTTCGACATGTGTAGATAGTCTAGGCATTGAGCACTTTCATTCACTGTGTAGAGAGTGTCTTTGTCTTTTGGTCTTTCTTTTTTTTTCTGTCCTTATTCCACTTCTTTTCTTGTATAAGGTATTAGGTCATCTGGTAAAGTTGTCTGTTGTTCACACCAACATTGTAGGTTTTTTTAGTGTATACACACACACACACACACACATATTCTCTCTATAATCTTTTGGTGAAGAAGAAATCATGATTATTCAATAGTGAATAAGGTATTGATAGTTTAATATTTAGAAACGATTGAACCAAATAGATTGAAAAAAAACTTGATATTTTAAAAGTATAATGCAACTGTAAAATTACTTAATGAATTCAGATTTTTTATGCTGTGTAAACTAGTTACTAATCACATTTCAACGGGAATTTTAAATTGTAAATTAAAATACAGCAAAAGACGTAATAGCTACATACTAATCTATTTATAATAATAAATGTACTTTGAATACATATAAAAGGAGAGAATGCTGAAAAGTTCTCAGTCTAATAAAACATTTCCCAAAACCATGATTTCAATGACCAAAAAGCAGAATATTGATTTGGAGTAGTTAGTTAGGCTGAGCACTTTTTAACACCTACTCATCATTGTGTGTGTGTGTATCATTTTTCTCCGTAATAAATTGTCATCCTTATTCTTCTAGTAATGTAAATACGTTTAATCATTATTTGGTGAATAAAATATTTGTTTAATTGAATAGTCACTTAGTATTGGATATAATCAAATGTAAGAAACACTATTTTGTTATAAGTACAATAAAACTGAAAAATTAGTTGAATATCGGTATCATTTTTTTCTAATGGCTCAACTAATGATTACTATTTGATATTATAGTAGCATTAGTGTTCATAGTAAGTGCTTTAGTAGTTGTCTTGGTTATTTGTGAATTGTACATATAAACTGCTTTCATCATTTTAAATATTTAAATTTAGGCATTCAGCATGAACCTCTTTTTAAACCATCTGGATTGACACCTTAATGGGGAAGGGAATTTTATTTTCTTTAATATTCAATAGGTATTGAACCTGTTGTGCAGGAATATGTAACAGACCTTGATTAAGGTGTATGAAATATACAACATAAATATATGAAAAGTTCAAACAAAACACAAAAGTATGTGTATGTGTATATATATATATATATATATATATATATATTTGAAATTCTTAATACAAGGTTTGCATATATCTACTTGCAAAAGACTGGGTACCAAAAACAATATAAATTTTGTACAAGGTAGTCCGAAAGTCTTGTCATCCCCTCTCTTCCAAAGTATATGTTGTGTCAGCCATTTGAAATACAAAATTATATTATGTACAGATGACAATACTTCCATGCCACCCTGTGCTTATCTTCCTGGTTGTTACAAGCATGAAATGTGCATCTTGTTATTGTAACTTCAAGGAGCAAAAAGAGGAAGATTGACTTTCTTGCCTAATGATATCTCATATGGGTCTCATCAGATCATGTGACTGTTTCTATTCTTGTGAATATTTATAATTAATTTTTATTGCTATTTTTTGTTTTGGACTAGGGGAGATAACTTTTATCTCTTGCTACAAGCCTAAAAAAAGAAAAAATCTTTGTACAATGCAACTGAAAAATTGCTTAAATATTGACATTATTTTTTGACAGCATTGGTCAAAAAGTTAATAATAATGAACAATTATTTATTTACAGAAGTCAAATGATTTATCTAAAAACCCTGCTCTCATAATTTCTTATAATATGCTATATTCTCAGAATGTTTGATAAATTACTGGCAATATATAAGTTGTGAATTTCATGTTCAAACAAACCTACAATGTCACATAAAATAGAACCCACAAGTTTGTTTATCTTGTACAGTTGTATCACACAAGTGCTAAATAGAAATAAATATTTGGTTGCAGGAGAAGATAACCCTTTCCTATTCAAAAACAGTTTACCTTGTTCAATAACTTTTAACAGGACTGACAAAATTTGTAAATTAGAGCAAACATTTCCAAAAATAAAAGCTAATCATTGTCATTAATAATAAAAGGATAGTACAATTGTAACAGTAAAAATAGTACTACTAAAAGTCAGTTTAGAACCAGAATATACTCTCATATCCAGGATAGACTGACCCTCCCCAGCTACTGAAATTTTCATTTTTCTTTCCAACCTACCCACTGTTATTCCAAACACACGACCCTGTTTATTTTGCACTTTTTTTTTCCCAGCTTATATATTTATTCCAATCTCCTCTCCTTCCTTCGCTGTTCCAAAAACAAATTAATTTTTCACTCTACCCTTTTATTCCAACCTACCCTCCTATTCCAAACATAAGAGTTATGATAAAACAAATGATAAATTTATTTGACAAACTTTTATGTAAATGACTGAAATATTAGGGTGATGCAAAATAACTTTGCCATTTTCTGCACAATATTAGGGAAATCTTAGAAGTGTCTGAAGTTTACTTGGTTCTTTACAGCTTATGTCAACAGTCTCTAAACAAGGAGCAAAGAAAATATATTGATTTTAAAAATCAATGAATAAAATTAAAATGAACAAATTTTATTTGAACATTTTTTTTCTGTAATCCACATTATTCAGGAGAAAAAGAGAAACTAGCCAATTCCAAAGAAAGAATGCCATGCTTATGCTAAGTGATAAATAACAAATAAACGTGTCAAACATCTGCAAATGCTTATGACAAAATAATCAATTACTTAAGTGCAGGTGAGAAAAGCAAGCTGTTCATTTAAAAATATTTCAAGTAGCAGCAGGTCTAAAAAAACAAAAAAAAATCTTGAAGTGGGTGGATATCAAGTAATTTCAAGACCCCTGGT